TTATTATTATCCTATTTATCTATTTCGTTCTTCCTCTGAGTTTTTGCGGGTTGTTGGAGGGTGCTCTAGCGTGGTTTGCTCCTTCTTTTACATAAAAGATCTATCGTCCATATCTCTTCTCCTTTTGTGTGTGTGCTTTTTTACTGTCTAGTGACACCTCTATCAAGTGGACAGGGAAAAAGGCACTTTACTCGAATTTCCCACTTGGCTCAGTACTTTCGGAGACGGACGTTAAACTAGTAGGCCCCGCCTCTTATATAACCTAATAGTGTTGAGGGGGGGTTAAACCCATACCATTTCACCATTCTGGACAGGGAAATCCTTCGTCCAAACTCAGGCGCTTGTTAAAAAAAGAAAAATGGGAAAAGTGGCGGCAACTGACGAGGCTCTCTGTAATACAACGTGCCTACGGTCCTCGTGGATTATGGGATCAGTGACAGTAGAAGTGACATCACCTCTAACCCCTGGCACTTATAAGACCTTATTGTGTTGCCTCATTGTGTTGCAAGTGCTGTAAAATGCTTTCCTTAGAATAAAGAAAAAAACATCACTGCTCGAAGAGCGGCCCATTTCCTGATTCTGAATCTTCCCATGAAGTGTCTTCTTCAAAGTCCAAGATAAGTAAGTTAGATTTCTCACCCCCGCTGCCTTGTTGTAGATAATTATTGATTTTCTTCGTGTTCTCCAAAATTGGTTCACAGACATCCATCTTGCTTCTGTAGGTCTGAACAGGGGATGCTTTAGGAGATATAAAACCTTTGCAGTTGCTTGTATATACATATGTAGTTTGAAAAGAAAAAACTATTTTCCCGTTGTTTTAAGCAGTCTTGAATGAACATTTGACTGTATTATGTTTGACCTCAATATGAATACAAATTATGTAGATGGAAACGTCTCAGCAAAGAAAGGGTTAGTCAAACTAACACCTCCAAAAAATCCAAACAACAGTAAGTAACATAGTAGCAACAATAACAAACTTTTATTTATTTGATTTTTGTTTGTTTGTATGAGTGTCTGTGTGTCTTTTATTCTTTGAGCTTGTGGTCAGTGTTCCTCACTTGACTTGCTGCTGTCGCTGTTCAGCAAAAACCCGTGGACGCAGCCACATGGCGTCTGTCCGCTGGGTTCCGTAGCTGCTCCTTCTTCAGACGGCTCGGTCTCGAAGGCAGAGTTGACGGCGGTGAGCTCCATGTACACAGACTCGCCGTTTGACGTCACCACGTCCTTGACCTCTGACACTCCGTTGACCGTCGTCTGCTCGTGCTGAAAGCTCTGGCAGGTACAGCGGAAGAGCTGGAGAAACGTCCGGCGGAAATTCTCCCCGGCTGCCACGTAAATGAGGAAGTTGGCGGAGAAGTTGAGGTAGAAGAGTACCTCAAAGGCGCGCTGCATGGTGACGTCATTGTTGTCCGGAAATGACTCGCTGACCAGTGAGCCAATCAGAAGCTTCAGCCGGATCACGTGGATAGGGCTGTGCATGAGAACCAGCGACAAGGACACAACCAGGAGGAATCTCGCGGCCTTCACCTCCGCCGTGTTTAGACGAACGGGTTCGCTCCTGAAGGATTGAAGTTTTGAGTTTGATTAAAGAGGAGCACATCGATGTACATGTAATAACGGTCATATAGTGCAGGTAGGAAGGAAGGGAGACAGACAGACCGAAGCAACAGAGAGAAGAAAAGAAGTAGGACCTCTCATTAATCAGCGGACCCCTCCAACCACCCACGCCGGAGTTTAAGAAAAGGGGGTTAAAAAAAGGATTAATAAGACACAAACCAACCAACAAACAAACACCCCCATCCCCCCCCAAGAAAAAACCCCACAACACAACCCCCCAAACCACTACCACCACTACCACCAACAACACCACCACCAACATAAACAAAAACCCAAACTTACTTAAATATGCAGGCGTGGGACGTACACGGAATGAAAAACTTAAAAATAATAAATATATTATATATATTATTACGTACGTGTATTGTGTGATCATGGTTTTCTTGAACAAGTGTCTGAGGAAGCTACTAGAGGTGGGCAAAATCGGGATAATCTATCCGAATAACCGGATAATTAACAATGAAACATTGTCCGAATTCAGACTCTTAACTCTCTTTCCTGACCTGCTTGCCGAAGTGGGTGCACCCATTTGTTAAAGTGATGATAGCCCGTTTGTCGTAGTGGTTCTAACCCATTTGCAGAAGCGGTTCTATCATATTATTTGCCGAAGAGGCGCACTAACATATTATCCGGATTTTGCTAAAGCGACTCATTGCCCAGCTCTAGAAGCTACTGATGATCAGATGGACAGACAGGGTCTACACCATCACCATCATCACATCACCATTATCTATCACCATCACCATCACCATCACCATCACCATCACCATCACCATCATCATCATCATCACCATCAACATCAACATCATTCGAATGGAGTTATTTGGACGAGTGGAGGTGCCGCTAAGCATATTGACAATGGAGCCGAAAAAGAGCCTCGCTC